TGATTCACCAGCTGCTTCACCAGGTGATTCACCAGCTGCTTCACCAGTTGATTCACCAGGTGATTGACCAGCTGCTTCACCAGGTGATCCACCAGCTGGTTCACCAGTTGATTCACCAGGTGATTCACCAGCTGGTTCACCAGGTGATTCACCAGCTGGTTCACCAGGTGATTCACCAGGTGATTCACCAGCTGCTTCACCAGGTGATTCACCAGCTGCTTCACCAGGTGATCCACCAGGTGATTCACCAGTTGATTCACCAGGTGATTCACCAGCTGGTTCACCAGGTGATTCACCAGCTGCTTCACCAGTTGATTCACCAGGTGATTCACCAGCTGCTTCACCAGGTGATTCACCAGCTGGTTCACCAGGTGATTCACCAGCTGGTTCACCAGCTGCTTCACCAGTTGATTCACCAGCTGCTTCACCAGTTGATTCACCAGGTGATTCACCAGGTGATTCACCAGCTGCTTCACCAGTTGATTCACCAGCTGGTTCACCAGGTGATTCACCAGCTGCTTCACCAGTTGATTCACCAGCTGCTTCACCAGTTGATTCACCAGCTGGTTCACCAGGTGATTCACCAGCTGCTTCACCAGGTGATTCACCAGCTGCTTCACCAGCTGCTTCACCAGGAACCACAGCCCAAAAAGTGAAAGAAAGTCCATCTTTGTTTGAAAACGCTGGGGCCTTGATACTCAAGTTTCTTTAGATTTTGAGATATGCTAATCACACGATTAAAACAAAACAATTTGATTAAAACATAAAATGAATAAAACCAAAAAACACACCACGCCACGTACTCTCATCCACTACTGGTCGCTGCGTGCGCATGCACCCTCCATAGCATATTCATCCAAATGATGAAATAAAGGCTTGAAGTCTTTCACTCTGCAATGAATCGATGTAAAATATGAGTTCCACTTTCTGAAGAGACAAAATAAATTCAAGTTTTTCAGAATATTCAGATTGTTTGAGATGCAGCTGCAGATGTGAACTAATCGAACGAGAACTGGAATGAATTATTTAGATATTTTTGAAAGTGCTGATTGAGACTAATCATTTGGACCCGTTGAATGAGTTGTGTTGAAATGAACAGATGTTTCAGTGAGTGACTGCTGGGTTGACTTGGACTTCAGTTGGAATAAACTGGAAATAATTTGTTTAAACTGGGTTTAATGAAACAAAGTGTTAGTTTAGGTTGTTTACGTTGAATGGAAGTCTCGTTGGCCGGTTCAGTCTGGAACTGTTGAATCCAAACAGTTTGTAAAATGTAGTTATTATATATCAGAATAAGCTGGATTATTAGTTCGTTCAGGGAGGCCCGGCCTGAAGGCATCCGGATTACACCTCCACAGGAAGAGCCCAGGTCCAAACCAGGGATTGGTCCCAGGACTTTCTTGCTGTGAGGCAACAGTGCTAACCACTGAGCCACGGTGCTGCCAGATGTAGAGTATAGATGTGGGCCAGATGTTTTCTGTTGGCTTGTTTAAAGGATGCAGCCAAACTGTCGTGCAGCAAAGTTCTGATTTTTAGCTTCGACAGGATCCAGTTTTTGTAGCCTTCTGGTTCTGGTGTTTAACGACGCCAGAGTCCAGCATCCCTGAACCCTCCGGGACCAGCACATGAGTCATGAAGGAGGTTCAACAGGAGGAGAAATCCGCCCCAGCTGCAGGCGAGCTCTGCAGAACGTCGACCCGCCGTGGTTCTGGTGGCTTTGGTTCCTCTGAAGCTGAGCAGGAATGTGTCTGAGGTCCGACCATCTGCTCTCAGTTTGTAAAGAACTGTTTGAGGTCCCTGATGATGGATGGGAGTCTTGCATCCAGAGTGGAAGGAACCAGCCATCCGTCCGGGTTCTGGTTGCATTTATGTGTTCTGTGTGAGGACGTTTGGCTCCGAGGCGTTCGAGTTCCGTGGGTGTTTTCTCAATTAGAGGGTCAGCTGCTGACGGATGAATAAACAGGAAGCCATCGATGAGTGCGGCTCCACTCGGCTCCTCGGTTCTTCTCAGGTGGAGGTGGTTTACCACGGCGACCCGTTTCCCCGCTCTGTGGGCGGGATCACAACTGGTCATTGTGTTCGAGCCGCTCCACTCGTTGTCTTTAAGTAGACCTGGTTTTCTTTAGCTTATCCCAGCACTGCTTAAAGTCCGGGTGTAGCCACGCTGCGCCATCATCTCCGATACCTCTCGGTTAATGTGCTCATTTGTTGTGGTGCCGTCCAGCTGCATCCTAACATGGGCCATAACGTGAGGAAGGTCTGGACCTCATCGTTGGTCCACGGCACTTTGAAGCTTCCATTGCAGGAACTAACAAAACAACCCTCAAACCCATCAGACAGGAAGTGGAGGTTCTGATGTACCGTATTTTCTGGAGTATAAGTCGCATCAGCCAAAAAAAGCATCACGAAGAGGAAAAAAACATACAAGTCTCTTCGGCGTCTAAGTTGCATTTATTATGCGTCACCTGTCGTGTTTATTTTGCATTTTTTTAATGGTCAAAACAGCTTCATTTCACCTGGGCAGTGCTGCACCATCCATCCATCCATACATACATACATACATACATACATACATACATACATACATACATACATACATACATACATCCTTCCTTCCATCCATCCATCCATCCATCCATCCATCCATCCATCCATCCATCCAGCGTTCCTCCGGCTGCACCATCTGAGTGAAGCGAGCGTGCATTAATTGCATTTGTATTTCAAATGCAATTAATGCATTAATTAATTAATTAATTAATGCTGGTTCTAGAATCGCGCCGCTCAAGGTGGCTGCATGTTGGAGCAGCTCTGTTACTTTCATTCTGAGATTTTGCTTTTGGAAACTTTAATTCCTCTTTTTCTGGGTGTAAATCACATTTTTTTGGATGATTGTTTCCTCTGGTATCAGATGCTGTGCAGCTGGAAGGATTTTTACAGAAACTGTTAGTTTTGGACATTTGTTATGATACGTAACCATGGCAACAAGGCAGTTTCTACAACCAACAGCAGCTGATTAACATCTCAAAAGCTCAAGTAATATCTCAACTACAGCCCTAAATTTCAAATGAGTTGAAAAGGATGTTCTGTGGACGCATTTTCATCTACCTGTCAGCTGTGCTCGAGTGCCTGACCACTGAGATCCTGGAACTAGCAGGAAACACGGCTCAGGACAGCGGAAGGACAGGATCGTCCATCAGCACCTACAGTTGGCTGTCCGCAGCGATGAGGAGCTCAACAAGCTGCTGGGAGGAGTGGCCATTGCCCTGGGAGGATTTCTGCCCAACATTCAGGTGATCCTGAAGCCCAGGAGGCCAACCAAGTGCAAGTAAACAGATCAACATCTGTGGCCAGTTTTTTCAGATCTGCTATAAGACGGACCATCACAAGAGATCCTTCCCGCCCACAACCATCAACATCTAGAACAACTCTTTTATGAAACAAGGAACATGAGCTACAACAACATTTAATTTCCCTCTGGGATTAATAAAGTATTTTTGAATTGAATTGAATTGAATTAATCAGGTCTCTCTTGTAAATGAGTCCTCGAAGCTCAATGGGATTTACCTGTATAAATAAAGGTTGTTTGATAATTGTTCAGCTCTAATAAGAATGCTTCTGTTGTGACTTGGCTTCATATAAATAAACTGAAATGAATCAAATTGAATTGCTGATGTCTTTCCATCTTGGTGTTGTGTTACCACACCTGGATGCTCCCGATCTGAGGTGATGGATTCTGCAGAACCAGTTTTCCATCTTTAACATTTAGTTTTGTGTTGTAATAAATAACAACACATTAAAAGTTTATTTCCTACATTTGACGACGTGCTGATGGCGTCCCGTCTTCTTTCTGTTTTCTTGTTCCAGCTCTGAACCTCGTTGTGTTGTAGCTTCGTGAGCGGGCAGCCTGGCTGCCCCTTTGCCTCCAGATGAATGAAAAGCCCCCCGGGACACCGAGACGCAGCCGATGCAGGTCACTCCATCACGCCGTCACAACACTCAGACAGCTGTGTGCTTTGTTTTGATATGAGCGATCCAGTGCACGAGGAAGATGCAGAGCTGTCGCTCGAGTGGACGAGCTCACGTCCCTCTGCTTGTCGTAAGGTTTCATGTCCCCCTGAGGTTTGTTTTCTGAACCTATGTCTCACCTTGTTGCAACACTCGTCCCTCCAGTTGGTGTTTCAGTCGTGTGAATATAATCTACTGTGAGCACAACTTGATTTGTGCAGATCTGAGGAGGGCAGCAGTAATACCCACAGAATCGGTACCTAAGACTGTATCTCTGAACTCTGAGCGTTTGCAGCTGTCGACTTTTTATTGTCCGGTTTTTGAAAATCCCTTCTTATGTTTGTAACACTATTTTTAAACTGCAGTCTTGGCTGCGCACATTATTCTGTTGTCCTCATTTATGATTTAAGCTGCTGGAGTTCACTTCAGAAATGAAGACTGGCAAGTTAAACAGGCTTTTCACGAATCCATGTCCATCCTTGGACTGGTTCTTAGACCTGGACATTTGGATCTGCAGCCTCGGATGTTTTCTGTCATCAGCAGAGCTCCTGCAGGAGCGTTTGAGACATGTGATGACGGTGAGACGATTTTCAGAGAAAATACTCACTTAGTGGTTTGGACATGTCCTGAGGAGGGACAGTGGTTTGGACATGTCCTGAGGAGGGACAGTGGTTTGGACATGTCCTGATGAAGACCGTGATGTTCAGGAAGAAGCCGAAGAAGAGGACGACAGCTCGTCCCTCGGCTGCGCAGCGAGACTCCATCTTTACTGAGTTTGTTGACGTGAACCTCAGGATGCGGCAGAATGTGGGTCGGACATTTTTGATTCGTCTTTGATTTGTCTTTTCAGGACACGCAGGCGTTTCTGCAAACATGATGAAGAAGAAGAATCCACACAAGTGAGTAGACGCTTCGCTCGTTTGCCTTCACTGTCAGCACGGAGGGCCCCGGTCGAACAGAACCGTTGTAGACGGCCGTGTTTCTTTTCCTCTCTCACTGAAGAAAACATAAGAGCAGTCTGGGCCCAACCACCAAAGTTCTGTCCCAGCCGCAACGCAACATCGTGGGCTGCAGAATCCAACACGTGTGGAAGGGCGGGGGCGGACACGTGGTGTGGAAAGGGACGGTTCTCGACCAGGTCAGATCACAAACATGATTTAACAGATCTGGAGCTGCACTGTGGAGTGGTAGTAGCTGAGAGTCATCCGTCCGAGCTCCTCCTGTTCAGACAGAGTGATGCCTTCAAGAACCGTCGTTTTCTCTGTGAATTCCACCAGGTTCCCGTGAACCCGTCGCTCTACCTGATAAAGTACGATGGGTTCGACTGCGTCTACGGTCTGGAGCTCCATAAAGACGAGCGGATCCAGGGACTGGAAGTGCTGCCCGACAGACTCGGTAAGACCGGACTGAGACCAGGATCAAAGCTAATGTCTCCGGGGACAAATCTGTGTAAATCCTCAGATTTCAGGAAAAATTTCAGGATCTTAAAATATTCACTCTGTAATATTTTAAAGGAACTTCAACCAGAATTTTAAATTTCTTTCTTTTTAAGATGCTATTTTCCTTTCATGGCATCATGGCAGGTAAAAAATAATTTACATTTTAAGAGATTTTAACTATAGGGTCTGATTTAGCATTTTTCTCAGAAGAGAAGAATTATGTACAATGAGGTAAATTATGTGATAAACTTTGATTAAAAATGTTACAAGGGAAAACAAGTTCAATGTTAAGTATTAAAAATGTATTAGATACAAACAGATCAAATACTTTAAATAAAATATAGAAACGAACTACAGGTGCTGGTCATAAAATTAGAAAATCATGAAAAGTTGATTTATTTCAGTAATTCCATTCAGAAAGTGAAACTTGTTTATTATATACATTCATTACACACAGACTGATATATTTCAAATGTTTATTTCTTTTAATGTTGATGATTATAACTGACAACTAATGAAAACTCCAAATTCAGGATCTCAGAAAATTAGAATTTAGTGAAAAGGTTCAATATTGAAGACACCTGGTGCCACAGTCTAATCAGTTAATTAACTCAAAACACCTGCAAAGGCCTTTAAATGGTCTCAGTCTAGTTCTGTAGCTACACAATCATGGTGAAGACTGCTGACTTGACAGTTGTCCAAAAGACGACCATTGACACCTTGCACAAGGAGGGCAAGACACAAAAGGTCATGGCTAAAGAGGCTGGCTGTTCATAGAGCTCTGTGTCCAAGCACATTAATAGAGAGGCGAAGGGAAGGAAAAGATGTGGTAGAAAAAAGTGTACAAGCAATAGGGATAACTGCACCCTGGAGAGGATTGTGAAACAAAACCCATTCCAGAATGTGGGGGAGTTTCACAAAGAGTGGACTGCAGCTGGAGTCTGTGCTTCAAGAACCACCACGCACAGACATATGCAAGACATGGGTTTCATCTGTCACATTCCTTGTGTCAAGTCACTCTTGAACAAAGGACAGTGTCAGAAGTGTCTCGCCTGGGACTGCTGCTGAGTGGTCCAAAGTTATGTTTTCTGATTAAAGTAAATGTTACATTTCCTTTGGAAATCAAGGTTCCAGAGTCTGAAGGAAGAGAAGAGAGGCACAGAATCCATGTTGCTTGAGGTCCAGTGTCAAGTTTCCAGTCAGTGATGGTTTGGGGTGCCATGTCATCTGCTGGTGTTGGTCCACTGTGTTTTCTGAGGTCCAAGGTCAACGCAGCCGTCTACCAGGAAGTTCATGCTTCCTGCTGCTGACCAACTTTATGGAGATGCAGATTTCATTTTCCAACAGGACTTTGCATCTGCACACAGTGCCAAAGCTACCAGTACCTGGTTTAAGGACCATGGTATCCCTGTTCTTAATTGGTCAGCAAACTCCATCCATCCATCCATCATCTTCCGCTTGTTCCGAAGTCGGGTCGCGGGGGAAGCAGCTTGAGCAGGGAAGCCCAGATATCTCTTTCCACAGCCACCTCTTCCAGCTCTTCTGGGAGGATTCCAAGGCATTCCCAGTCCAACCGAGAGACGTAGTCTCTCTAGTTTGTCCTAGGTCTTCTGTGGTGTATTGTGAAGAGGAAGATGTGATACTCCAGACCCAACAATTCAGAAGAGCTGAAGGCCACTATCAGAGCAACCTGGGCTCATAACACCTGAGCAGTGACACAGACTGATCCACTCCATACCACGCTGCATCGCTGCAGTAATCCAGGCAAAAGGAGCAACAACTAAGTATTGATGCTGTACAGGTACATGCTCATACTTTTCAGTTGGCCAACATTTCTAAAAAACATTTTTTATTTGTCTTAAGTAATATTCTAATTTTCTGAGATACTGAATTTGGGGTTTTCATTAATTGTCAGTTATAATCATCAACATTAAAATAAATAAACCTTTGAAATATATCAGTCTGTGTGAAATGAATGTATATAATATACAAGTTTCACTTTTTGAATGGAATTACTGAAATAAATCAACTTTTTCATGATTTTCTAATTTTATGACCAGCACCTGTAAATAAAGCAAACTGCAAACACACATTTTGGTTTTGTTTTAAAATATAAACAAACAGAAAATAGGAAAGTTAATAATTTAATTTGTATTTTTCATATAACAAAACATTTATTTGTTTGTTTTTACTTCCAACATTTAATAAATATTCTTTACGTTTCTTTTGTATTCGTTAGTTGTGGCTCGAGATCAGAACATTTGGAGTCTCGCTCGGACTCGTCCCGGTTCGAGACTCGAGCCAGGTTTTTACATTTTTTAATCTCTGCAGCTAAGTCTCGTCTGACGGACGTCGGCCTCGCCGACACCATGATCGGGAAAGCCGTGGAGCACATGTTTGAGACGGAGGAGGGTCCGAAGGAGGAGTGGAGGGGCATGGTTCTGGCCCGAGCTCCCATCATGACCACCTGGTTCTACATCACCTACGAGAAAGACCCGGTTCTGTACATGTACCAGCTGCTGGACGACTACAAAGAGGGAGACCTGCGGATCATGCCCGACTCCAGTGAGTGCAGATGTGTTGGTTTCCTTAGAGTTCGCCGTGTTGTGGCTTCCTGTCTCCTGATCGCTCTCGTGTCTCCTGGCGTCCGCAGACGACAGCGTCCCAGCGGAGCGGGAGCCCGGCGAGGTGGTGGACAGCCTGGTGGGCAAGCAGGTGGAGTACGCCAAAGAGGACGGCGGCAAACGAACAGGCATGGTCATCCACCAGGTGGAGGCCAAACCGTCCGTCTACTTCATCAAGTTCGACGACGACTTCCTCATTTATGTGTACGACCTGGTCAAGACTTCGTAAAGACTCCGGACGTCCCGATCCGCCCCGCGCCCACGTGACAGAAATCTACAGCAAGCGCAGCTCATGTTGACGCACCTGAAGCGTTTAACCCAGCAGTCCTTCCTCAGTCCATCAAACACACGGAGAGGAAAACAGAAATAAATCATTTTTTATGTTTTCTCTTGTTCCATTTTCAGCTCAGTGCCTGAAAGTTCGTACAGAGAAATACGATCAGATTTTCTTCCAGAAACATCTAGATGAATACGATGAACCAGAGCAATGGCAACCTTCATCTCCCCCATATCCAAGAAAACACAGAAACGTTTTCTCCATCTTCAGCTGACGCAGAGAAATGAATCCCAGTGAAGAGACGGAAGGATTTTTAAATTCATCACTTTTAAAACAAACATGAACCTGAAGATAAACGATTCCTGGACAGGAACTCGTACAATCATGAAGAAACTGACTGGACTTTCAATATGGCGCTGATGGTTCCTTGACCTGAAGGCCCAAAGTATGGAAGCCTATTTTGGCCAAAATGGAAAACAAAACATTTAAAAAATCACAACTATATATATATATATATATATACATATATACATACATATATATATATATATATATATACATATATACATACATATATATATATATATATATATA